AAACGACGGTCAGCGCGCGGGGATCAAAATACACAAAACATGGCATATTGAATGTATAAGCCAAGGCGTGGATCCAAGATTTACTGACGAAAGAAAACAGTGAAAACATTTCAAATGCATATATACAATGGCAAAAACTTTACTTTTATGTGCACTTTAGTCAATCGATATTTAATGCCGTATATATGAAAAATAAAACAGTACTTATTCAAAAAAAAATTTAATAATAATAAATAAATAAATTTCGAGGAAAAGAAATTTTACCTAAAAGCACAATTTAGGCAGAAACGTAAATGTCTCTGATTTATGTAACTCAGTGCTGCAGGCATTGGAATAAAGATCATAAAGAATCATTATGAGTATTTTCTCGGATGTGTGCACTATATTCTTTTTTATTTAAATTTAATTTACCCCTGTAGAAAAGTTTTAGGAAAAGATACAGTCTTCTTTACCCGGATCAGATTTTAAGAATTGATAAACAAAGCAACTGTTATCATTTTTCTTTATGCAATTCTAATTTGCGTTTTTTGTCAATGAGAAAAGGTAAAAAAAAAAATCACTCTTGAAATAAAGCCAAAATTATAAAAATATGTGTCTCATGGAACAGCCTAAAAAATCGATGTTGGTAGATTGGGGTTCTTTTCAGTGTGTAAATACTTAATTTTAAATGGTAACGTTTCAATTTTATTACCTTCCTATGTATGATTTTTTCCCCAGGAGCGTATACATGTACATGCACTTATATTATACATAATATAGCGTTAGAACATGAATCTGCATGGGCAGCAGAAGGGCATGATGCAGGAGTGTCTCAATTTTTCTCTTGATATTCCCAGTGGCTCAATGGCCAAGTCACATCAGAGGATACGATTAAGGAAAATAAGGAAAGTCTTGGGAATTAATTCAGGTTCAGATTAATTTAAGTTGGCGCTTTAAAACTTCTTTGCTGCCGTAGTAGGCGGCTAAGAACTAAAGTCAAAAGAAACGCTAAATTTTTATCCCTCTTCTTTCGGAATAATTGTTAAAGCTATATATGGCGTATCTGAGCTAAAAAATAAAAATACAAGATTGGGTGTAGTTAAACATGATATATGTTATTTACGTTGAAATTAAATTTTTCACCGATTTTGAACTTGAATAACCTCATGTTTCCATAGTTCGATTGATTAAAAAAAAACTAAACTGTGTCTATTAATTAAAATCTGAATCGGTAAATAAATCGATTATTGTTTTAAATTTCTAATATCTTTGAAACGTGATTGATTTAAATTGTGAAATTTACAGGAAAGTCCTATTTTTATATAAAGTAATAAAACAAATAAAAAGATCTTTTTAATTTAGGTAGTCTGAACTTATTAAAAAAAAATACGCAATGTATGACTTTAAATAATTCTTACGAATATTTATCATGGTTAGAATTTTTTTTACAGACATTATACAAAATATATTTAAACTGAATAAAGCATATTTACAACAAGTAAAATAATACAGGTACATAGCACCAGGAGGGCCGTCCCCTTCCACTTTTTTCCCCAAACATTGAAAAGGCGCACCCTTGACCCCTTTTCCACCTTTTGTTGCAGTATGGTACGTCAAATCATCCCACGAGAATGTATTGTAATATAAAATATGTTTGTCGGAAAAGTTGTAATCCCTCCTTCCAAGAAATGAAAATGTTGAGTTTGTATAGACCCTTTTTCCCCTTGTCAAAGATTGTTCAGATAAATCGTCGATTTTTTTCTGTCCTCCACCCCCCCTCCCATTTTTTTCAAAAGCGATACTACTGCCTGTAATAGCTGAGAAAATAATATAACATTCCACTGTTTATCCTGTGACATTAATGAAGCCAAAAAGATGACATTTCAGGCTTTCTGGAAAGCCAAACTTGTCAATAATGGCTTTGCTGTTCTTGAGAAGATTTTTAGTACAATTATTCCACTGTAATATAACTTCTGTCCTCCGCGAGGCTACGTGCATGTGTTGCCAATTATTCAGGCATTTTCAAAAGATGCTTGATATGTTTATAATATGTATTTACTGTGTATAAGGAACTAGCTTTAATTAACATGTTATTTCAGTCAGTGGAAGCATTCGAGACAGATATCTCCAAGTAAGAATAAGATCGGTTATGTCCTTCAGAGGCAGAGTCTTTAAGGCAGTATGCAAGGCAGAGAGCCGAGCCCCTGTGTGTCGGTCAGACATTTGCAGCAGCACCTTAAGGGATCTTCATCCTGGAATATCAGAAGTAAATTATGCAATGAATATCATTGAATTAAAGAACGCGAAGCATTAACTGATGTATATTAAAATTTTGATTTAAACTAGTAATTTCTACCCCATATTTTATAAGTTGCCCGCTCCGAATTGTACATGCCCATTTCATTGCCCATTGTCAAATGCTTTGACTTTAACCGATGAATTAAATTAAAATATTTCAATGGCTTTGTTTTTATATAGCAAAACAATAATTATCTGTTCATCACTTTTATATTGATTTTAAAAGCAGTGTTCTTGGTTTTTATTTCAACATTTTTTTCTCTCCAAGAAATCATTTAAACAAATAAACAAATATGATAATCTGTGATATCCCCATGTTATGTATGTATATGGGATGCATATGTTTTATGAATAAAAGTTCCAATAATTATATAAATTCATATTTTTAGTTGAACTAGAGCATCAAGAAAGATCTGGATTTGGAAAACTTAAAAACATTAAAGACAAGGCAGGGAACAAAAGACTTTTTTTTTTAAATCAAGATTCACCTAAAGTGCATTAAGAAGAAATTGGAGAACATCAATAGATGCTGCCCACTGCCGCTATTAGTCTTGGAAATTACAAATCAACAATTGGAGCAGACAAGACATTCTAATGCAGAGTCACCCACAATAGGAGATGATTGAGTTCCTGTGGTAATTGGGCAGAATGTGATTGATTGATTGATTGTATGTTGTTTTACGTCCCATTCGAGCATTTTTCACTCATAAAGAGACGTCACCATATACCAGTGAAGGGCTTCAAATTTTGACCTTTCCTCGACATTAAGGGCCATTGAGCAGTGAGGGATCTGCCGTGACACGGGGCCTCGGTTTTTAAGGTCTTATTCGAAGGACCAGCAACTTTCACTTTAAAGTGCCGAGCGCATGGCGAAGGAACAGTTGCTACCCATTTTTTTTTATCGACTTAGGTCAGTCGCGACCGAGATTCAAGGAGCGAGCGATGGGCAGAATGTGAAACAGTTTTTTATAAATATCTATACTCATAAATTAATAAATTTTGCAAAGCTCCGAAACGGGTGCACCAGAGTTCTTACTTACTCCTCTAAGAATACACTAGATACAAGATGATGTCCGTAAACTATATTCAGATTTCACTCGCATAGTATGTATCGTACATTCAATTAAACGTCAACTTTCATTTTCTATAAACAGCCATGAAATAGCAAAAACGTGGGAACGGTGGCGTTTCCGGTTGGCGGATCTAAGTTACTGGCAATTTTTAATGAAACTGACAACAAGCAATCGTTTATTTATTTCATAAAACGTCATCACTGAATTATTCAGTCAGAACTTGATTTAAATGATATAAAAGAAATAAGTTGTGATAACCGATTAAAAAGGGAAATGTGCAAATTATTTTTGTCATTCACCGATCTTAATATTGATAGAAGCTTCTAGAACATCATATAGCATCGAACCCGATGTTAAAAAGAAAAACGAGTCGATTATAGCTGCATGAACATAAAGAAAGCTTTTGTTCAAATAGTCATTGAAATAATGGTAAATCATTGATAACACTAAGTTGTGAATATATTTATATATCGAAAGACTATTATATATATGTATATAGTAAGTTTTTCTAATATTTTATCGGTAAAATTTGTAAGAGCATCGTGGCAACGAACCCGAAGTACAATTTATACTTCGTAATAAACTTGCTTACATGAAAAGAGAAAATTAATGAATAAGGTATTGTTCAAATACAACTAAAGCTGTAAAAGTTTATGCTTTGAATCAATACATTTCAGGGTTTTTTTTCTGAATATAGTCTTTTGTATCAAATACTCGGCCTATTTATAGGGCGTTAAAAGCTAATTTTTACACAGGTACATGGATAAAAAAAATAAAGTATATACTGAAACGTAGTAGAAACGTAATAGGACACCCCCATGAAATGGAATAACCTGACATCCCTTTGGAAATAGATTGTTCTAAGGGTATATAAGTCAGTGCAGTAGGCAGATGAGAGAGAATTGCTGTGAAGTCTGCTGAGTGCGGTTGAAAGACGAAAGGTATACGTAATAGCTGAAGAAGTAAGGCTAGGGTAGAATTTGAATTAGCTCACCAGCGGTAGTGGTATTTGGGGAATTAATTTGGGAGTCAGGAGGTAGTAGGTCTTATTAGATCGAGGCGCTTGATTCTATATATTAATAGGAACCCTTATACCAAGAGTACGCGGTGACGGGTTACCCAGTCACATTTAGTCCTTTAAAAAATACTGCAGCACCCGGTAAAACCTCTGATAGTTTAATAGGGTCCGCCAACAGCTTATCTCCTCCTCGCGCCGCTAGAGGCGCTGTTGTACTATGAGGTATTCGAGATAAACAACATGGCGTACGCTTCGTACACCGTACTGAAATTGAAAAAAGAATTGATGTTGCGCGGCGCTGTAACTACGGGAGGAAAAACAGATCTCATAGAAAGGTAAGAAAAACATTAATACTGTTAAAAATAAATGATTTTCAATGAAGTAATCGTAATATAATTAAAATAATTAGGGTTATCAGAGTTAAGTCACACGAGTGCTACATTGTCAGTGATTGTACTGACAATATGCCAACAACAACTGTTAAACAAATTTCATATTACTGTGTAGGTTGGAAGCATACAAGCGAAATTTTAACTTTAGCGGTCCCGTAATAGAGCTGCCAGTGGAAAGGAAGGTAGACTGGCCCACTACTGGGTATAAACAAATTACATCAGAGCATTATGACTTTATAATGCCACATATATCAGAAGCCCATATCGAAGGTACAGTAATATTGGGGACAATCGCTTAAGTATGTTAAAAAATTTGGTGTATGCCACATATGAAATTTAACAGTTTTGAGGATATCAAATAGAAATATGTCAATGTGCAGGTGTAAAACTCATATTTTCTTTTCGAATTCTTAGGATATTTTCAATACAGACAAGCAGTTGACAGGCAAATGATGGGCAATACAAAGGCGATTGTGAAAGGAAAATTGCTCTTGGAGTCGGAGAGAGTTAAAGCACTGAGTATTAACTGTCAACATGAGGACTTTTTTCTTACAGGATTTGTCCGAGCAGCAATGAAGAAAAAGGTAGTGTTTCAAAATAAATGAACAACAACTAAAAACAGATTTAAAAAAATCAATGCACATGTGTGTGTATTATGAATGTAGAGTGAATCAAGATTGTCTGAGTAATGAGTATTATGTTGTTGACTGTATTTAACAGGTGTCTTACAATTATCCTGTAAGAATTCACAGAAAAACGGGTGAAATTAAAAATTCAGATTGTGAATGCCCTGCTGGGAAGGGCCCTAATGGAACTTGTAAACATGTAGCAGCTGTTGTTTTGCTCTTGGTGAAATTTCGGGAAACACGCATTATAGCCATTCCTAGGGGATGTACAGATAATCTCCAGACTTTTCATAAGCCAAAGAAGTCTTTTCAAGTTGAGCTGCCTGTGTTTAAAAATGTTTCCTATTCATGTTTTTTTAAATTTGACAATTTAAATGTTGAATATTTGTTTTTGTTTATATACACAAGTTACAAAAGTTATAAACGACTTTTCAGCATATATTAAATTTTGATGATGATGATGCTCCATCTTCACTAGCTAAGGATTTCTGGTCTGCTACTCAACTTACACACCCTTGGCCTACAGTGTTATTAAAAGTTGGGTTTTTTTTTTCTCAAGTTGCAATTGGAGTTTCTTAATATTGTTTGACCAATCAGCAAATGCTTCTGTACATATGACGATATTTCAGTTTGGGGTATATCTTGACTCAAAAGTCTCAGGAATGAAAAAAATTGGGTAAACAATTATCCCTAACATGCCTAAGATAATGTGGCATTATATAAATGGCTATAGTGTCATCCATGCACATAATGTGATCAGGAATCTATATTGGAGATACAGACTTGCACCCTTAAGAACAAATAAACATTGCTCGATAGCTGCTTCTTAATTATTATTTTAAAAAAAAAAAGCTCTTTATTTTTATTGATGATGCTAGTTGTGGGTAAATGTATGTGGTAAGATTCGAAATCAGGTGACATAAACAATTCAAACTTTTGATAGCACAATTGGCTAAGGGTGGCTAGCTAAGATAATAATGCCCTGTAATATACAACAACTTTAATTCTGTGACCCGTGTCACAATTTTTTTAAAATATAAAAGTTGCGTGATCTACAGACAGGTATACAAAACTACAGCTTGAGAAGTTGTTTTAGGTAGTTCTTCTCATGCATGCAAAATTTAGTTTTTATGTTCAATCTTTGTTGAATATACACTAAAGATGAATACATCTGATCCACAAAGTCATGTACATGTATATTATAAGTAAACCATGAAATAAGAAAGCTTTAAATTAATGCAGATATTGATTACAAGTACTGATATCTATTCAATATATTACTTAATTAAAAGTGATGGAAATGTAATTTCTTTGTACAGGAATTCAATACTGAAATATATATTTGGCAAATTGTAATAGAAGTAAAATTAAATTACATGTAAACTAATGTGTTGTTGTTTTTTTTTTTTGGTTAATGTCCGACTTATTTTAAATCTTTGAATTTTACAGGCTCCCCCATAAAAGCAGAAGACATGCCTTGTCGGTACAACCCAGATCTTAGTGACCCAAGGCGTCAGAAATACAGAGGAATTGCTGGATACAACGATTATGTGAGCAACATTGTAACCAATTTCCGTGCTTTAACGTCGGCAGATTTATCTTTCAAGTACATGAAGCCCAAGGCATTTATCTACTTTGCAGTACTGGACCATGATTACTTGGACCTGCCATTCACTGAATATTGGATAGATGCAGCTCAGAATGTATGATATTAATGAAATATTTGGTTAATTGTAATCTTCTGTAAGAGTAATAAGTTATATGTCTTTTAGAAAAGAAAAAAAAACAAGACATGTTTGTAAAACATTGAATGCCTCCATATGGCAGCTGCTGGCAATGGTGAAAGTTGAAGATATTGATAATTTAAAGTGCTACTGAACTATTCTTTTAAGGTTACATTATGAATTCTTGAAATATAAGAACTGGTTTATAAATAATGAATTTTGATATACTTGAAGTGTTTCTTTGGTATGAACAAATTTTAATTTTTCGTATAGGTTTCAGATAGGGACATTGCCCGCATCGAACACAGAACTAGGAAACAGAATCTGTCGAAAGTTTGGCACCAAGAGAGAGAATGGCGTTTGACAGCTTCCAGTTTTGGGGATATTTCCAAAGCTACTGATCAACGTAACAGACTGAAGCTGTGTTCTAGCATCTTTAAACCTCTTAAACTGAAAACACCAGCTGTCTTACATGGCCAACAATATGAAGCTGTAGCAAGACAAACATTTCAAGAAAAAATGGGTTTCAAAGTAAAGACTTGTGGTCTTTTCATAGACTCGGAGAACAATTATTTGGTTGCTTTGCCCGATGGCATTATTGGAGAAAATGCTATTGTTGAAATTAAATGTCCATATAAGGGTAGAGATCGTAAGATTGCTGCAGACAAGTTTTTCCCATTCTTGCTAGAGGATGATGATGGTGTATTGCATTTAAAACAGAATCATAATTATTATATGCAGGTGCAAAGGCAGCTTAATGTGTGTAGAAAAGAGAAGTGTTTCTTTGTTGTGTACACATTTGTTGATATTTTTGTGGAAGAAATCAAAGTTGACAGAGATTATTGGTGTGGTTGCATGCTGCCAAAGTTAGAGTTGTTTTATGAAAAACACTACAGAAAATTTCTTGCTGAAAAATTGTAAATTGATGTCATAAATCTGCAGTTAAAGCTTTTTCTGTGAAGACTTGTGCATAAATTTTTCATTTCTATATGGATAATATGATGATATTTGCAGGTTTTCTTTTTAGAAAAGCCTTTTACATCTGTTAAGATCAGCACAATATTTTGATTGTTTATCAAAACTTAACATGGTCATTATAGTGCACTGTTTTAATGGATAACATTTTTTACTATTGAAACTATTGTTTTATATTGCAAAATGTAGATTTTCAGTAGTCAACCTGGAATTTAGAATAATCCAAGAGAAATGTTTATGAAGTTATTAATGGTTTGTAAAGAGGTGTATAGAGATAGTTATAAAGATGTATCCACTTGCTGCTTTAAGACAAAATTATGTAAGAAATAGCAGTTAATTGAGTACAATGTGAAAATGTTAGATTGAATAATGCAAGTGTAACTGAAATCGTTGTTTTTATTCTACAACATGTATTAAATAATATTCATTTGAATGGTAGTACGTTATTATGAATATTTGTCAACGATGCAAGGTCTAAAATTCAGTACTGAAAAACAAATAAAAATGATTCTAGAGCATAAAATGGCTTTGCCCTGTGGTAGCTCTTTCTTGAGAATTTTGAAAGTCTTGGCCAGTCCAATGATTCTTTCAACATGAATTCGCTTTGATGCGATTCTTCGGTCTTTAACAACATCTTGTGCCTCAAGTTGGCTTTTTCCTTTCAACATTGTTGGAGTGTTGACCTGAATGTTACGAGGGGCAAACAAATCCTGGACCATGATACCCCTGTCAGTCATTATACTGTCATGGTCTTGGAATTTGTCCTGGTCTCTAAGTAAGTCAGAACGTTCAATAATTTGTCTGTCACTTGTAGCATCACAGTATGCATCGGAAATATAACTGACAGTTCCACGTGGTGTACAACCAATCATCACCTTTAGTGTATTTTTATTCTTGTAATTTGAAAATGTAGCACCCTGGGCATTTACATTCTGGGGCTTATTTATTGGTACCTCAGTGGCATCAATTATCACTCTAGTTTTGTGGAAATTTGCAAAGAAGTCATCAGGCATATATTCATCAATTACAGATCTTGAGGGCCAAATGTTAATCTCTTTAAGTTGGAAGTACATAAAATTGATCCATGTAACAATAATATTTGAAACAGTACTTTCACTGACTTGAAACAAATAACTCAACCCAATGTCTTCTTTAGCTTGTCTCAGTTTTATCATAACTAAAAAGAACTGGTCTTGAGGGGAAAGTAAGTTGCTTTTTAGATTCAAATCATGTGCTGCAGGACCAAGTACTTGAAAAAACATCATGAAATGGTCATAATTTTCAAAACCAGTGTAATATTTCACCATTTTATCATTAAGTTGCAATTTTTCAATGGAAAACCTGCTTTTTCCAATATCACATTGGACTGACTGATCATGCAGCTTGTTTTCATCACTTTCATAACATTCACAATCAACATTAACTTCTTGTACAGACTCCACCACCACTTCATTCACAACACATTCACTATTAGACACATTTTCACTATGATCTCTATCTCACTTGACTCTTTTACTGTATCTTTGTTCTCTTGTGCTAGATGACTCACTCTTACATGCAAAGGCAAAGACAGAAGGAACAGCCTCTGGTTTTAGTCTCTTTTTCTCCCCTTAAAATAAAACAAACTCTATTGTAGCCTACTTTCACTTTCATGTGTTTTCTCTTTATTTCGAAAAATAAGGAAACATTTGAGTGTGATTATATTTAAATACACGCTAATTACATAATTGATAAATCGAGTATGATGAATCGCCAGAGTATGAAAACAGTAGGCTAACGTTAGCCGTGTTAACTGAGCATCGCATGTATACAGTAGTTTTATTTCACGTTACGATGATTTTGAGCTAAGAACCAATTATTTAAAAACGTAGTTAATTAGATCAACAACTAGTTTACCATAACGAACTAACCAAGTAGTGTTGATTGAATGTAATCATCGGGTGTGAAGTGATCTCCACACACCCGGTCGTGAGCAGCCGGCTCCCATAACTTTCTTGATTTTACATCCAATCTTCGAATCGCGACTCGCCATTTCAATTTTAGATCGGGGTTCGAAGGGAACAAATGTCCACCTTTCTTATTTTTACACGTAGGTACACAACAATACACTGGCATATCGACGATTTATCCTTTACGCGGTTTCTAACTATTACAGTATAAAGTAGACAAATATGGCGACGTATCTATACCTCATAGTACACGAGCGCCACCTGGAGGAGATAACTCTTCTTGGCGGACCTTATTGTCTTCTAATTATATATATACAGAATCATTATACTCAGGAAGAGTTAAGGAAAATTATTATCGCCTAATCATTTTACTCAGACAGAGTACGAGGAAAATCAGATCCCTTAAAAAGAACTCTGGTTAAGATATGTTCAGATAAACACGTTACATTTTGGTGGCAGCTGGTTAAGGGATAAAAATGCTGATTTAATTTGATTCTGTAGGGAAATTAATATTGTAGTATTGTTGTGCATTTATTTTTACCAAGTTTAGAGACTGTGTATATTTTACCGGGTATATAGCTAGGCTTGCTATAGTCTTGGTATTGTGTTTTACTTGGTAAAGTTTACCAAGTACATAAACCTGGTGCAATTATAGAATAGAGAAAACCAGGAAACATATTATATCAAAATGTCTGATAGAGAGGAAGAATTGTTAGCTGACCTCAGTGCTATTGATACCAGAAGGGAAAAGCTCAGAGAAGAAATAGAAAAATTACGTTCTACACCTCAGAATACCAAGTCTTCAGTGGTACCAGATTCCGGAGTAGATGTTAGGTACAAAAACCCAGACAACAGTTTAGATGAATTAAATTACAGAACACCAAGTAACACAGGACATGCATTTGGACATGAGATATCCAGAGCCTGGTTATACACTGTATGAAGATAAACAGATCGTAGATCGAACTTTACAGAGGGATACAGAAAATAAGCTGCCACGATTTGGTACAATAATACTAATAAGGAGTATTCATACGGCAAAACAGTAATGAGACCTGCAACGTATGATGGATCTGGGTCTTGGATAGATTATAAGGCCCATTTTGAAGCATGTAGCGATATCAACTCCTGGAACTTACAACAGATAAGTTTGTACCTTGCAGCCTCTTTAAGAGGACAGGCTCAAACTGTCCTTGGCAATATGCGACCAGGTGCAGATAAAACCTATATGGAGACGTGTGACGCATTAGAGTCAAGATTCGCACCTGCAAATCAAACTGAACTCTATCAAGCTATGCTTAGAGAAAAACGTCAAAAACCAAGTGAATCTTTGCCAGAACTTGGTGAAAGCATTCGACGATTGGAACATCTCGCCTATCCAACGGCTCCCAGAGAAGTTACTGAGATGATAGCCAAAGATCAGTTTGTAGACGCATTGGCTGATTTTGACATGCGCCTTCGCATTCAGCAATCACGACCAAAGTCATTAAATGATGCTGTACGCTTCGCCGATGAAATAGAGGCCTTCTGTAGAGCAGAACTCCAGAGAAGAGGAGATGGTGGATATGTCAGGAACACAAGCAAAAACCAAGTGACACCTGATGCTCAACAAGACTCGAGTGTCAGGGAAGAACTAAGACAATTGAGAGATGAAATACAGGCTTCTCTTAAAGATTTAGAAAAGAAAATTTCTCATGTCTCGACAAAAGAAACGTCAACCACTTCAAGTTATTTAAGCAAGCAAGGCAAATTTCCTTTCAAATGCCACTATTGCGGAAGAAAAGGCCATATGATCAAAGACTGTTTTGTGAAAAACAATCAGAATGAAACTAAGATGCGAAAATCAGAGTTGAAGAATTCAACCAGTCTAAAAGAAAATACAGATTCCCAGAAGAAAAATGGTTCGATAGTTTCTAGCACATCACTGAAAGTTGACCAAGACATCCAGGAATCTGGGTTGTTTGTAAAGGCAATGGTAAATGACACTCGGTGTAATTTACTATTTGATACTGGGGCCACTCTGACTATTCTATCAGACAAACTGCATGCTAATATAGACAAAACCGGGAAAATTGGACTTTCACCAGTTACACAGAGAATTGTGGGTCCTGATGGTGCACCTCTTACTGTACAAGGGAAAGGATTATTCTACATTAGACTTGGTTCTCAAGAATTTACGACTCAGGCAGTAATAGCAAACATCGAAGCAGATGGCATTGTAGGATTAGATTTCTTACAAACAAACCAATGTCTTGTCGATGTATGTAAGTCCAAGATGCATGTTCATGGGGTAGAACATGAATTAGAACTGCAAGGAAATATCGGTTGCTTTCGCGTGAGTCTGTGTGAAACCATAACCATTCCTCCTAGAAGCGAAATGGTATGTCCGGGTCAAATGTTGGACCTACCAAAACTACCACAGATACCACTGTTGATTGAACCCTATACTAAATTTCAGGATAGTGGAAGAGCCTTGGTAGCTAGATCCCTCGTTAATTCAGCTGAGAAAGTGGCCGTTAGACTGATGAACATATCTAGTCAGTCCCAGACAATCTTCAAGAACACAGTGATAGACTTGACATCCCCGGTAAGAGAAATAATTATGCCTGAAAAGGAAGGTATTGTTAATAATGTTATGCCTGGGGAAAACAAAGAGAGCCTTCTTGAGCATTTGAACGATTTATTTGATAGAACAAAAACTGGTCTATCAGAGGAACAGTCGACAAAAGTGAAAAGTGTTCTGACCAACTTCAGTCAATTTTTTTCGAAGAGCAAAGATGACTTTGGAAGAACATCATTGATAAAGCACCGTATCAATACAGATGGAGAAAAACCAACCAAGCAACCTCCCAGAAGGTTACCGCATCATGCTGCGGAGTTCGTTGATCAAGAAGTGAAAAACATGATTGATAAAGGCATCGTAGAACCCTCATCTAGTCCATGGGCTGCTGGGGTTGTACTTGTTGAGAAAAAGGACGGCACAAAAAGGTTCTATGTTGATTTTCGGTCCTTAAACAGTAAAACGGTAAAGGACATCTACCCTTTACCGCGCACTGATG